GTTGATAGCCAGATGTCACGCCTACGCCAGAGACGGTGTAAGTTAGCGAAAGCAGCCCCAGCTTTTTGGATCCGTGCTGAGATTTCGTCACCAATCAATCCGTTGGTGCTGATACAACTTCCCAAATAGGTGAAGTGGTCAACATGTTCTATCACTTCACTCCTTATCACTAAGTTAGGAGTTGACGTAGTCCAGTCCTGTAGCAGCATCTTACATTATACAGGGGTGAATCGCATGCCAAACATACGAATATTGCTGCTCAAGGTGTTCAGAAGACTCTGCATTTTGTCAGCGTCCTCCCCTAACAGGACTATGTCGTCTGCATATTCTAAGTCTATAAGACTATTCCCTGGTAACAAGTCGATTCCTAAGTCGTTAAGTTCAGTTAAGGATACTTCCATTAGCATATCTATGATGAAGTTAAACAGAAAAGGGGAAAGTGGGCATCCTTGACGGACACCACTGGTTGTTATCAATTCAGATGACAATTCCCCATAAGCCCTTACATGGCTACGTGAGTTTGAGTAGAGTGCCCTGATTAGTGCAATGTACTTTCTTGGCACTCCCTCCACAGTCAAACATTGCCATAGTACCTTTAGATCCATGGAGGGTTCTAGTCCCAGGACCTTCGGGTTATAAGGCGAGCTCGTAGACTATCCAGCCACTGGAACCCGATCCTATCCAATGGCTCATGGATTCCATATTCTACTGATTTGTGGAATATATCGCCTCAGCAGTGTCAGTGTCATTGGCGAGTAACTGTTCTCTTGCCTGGCTATTAGTCTATGCCTTCACTCAATCAGCTATGATTGCTCTACATGGAATATAATAGCTTGGTGTGCATAAGATGTGTCCTACGCAACTCTATCCGTGTAGCTTCATAACCTCATCGATTGTCTTTCCCTCCTAACACTACGCCTAACCTCAATATTAATCATCATATTTTATTACTTAGCCACTAGACTGTATATTTTTGTATGCGTCTGTGATGACTGTGACCTGAACACTGGATATCTGTTTCTCTCATTCAAAAATCATTTAAGGATAAATAATGTTAATTGTGTGATGATTTGTGAATGATTTTCCAGACTGTTCCCTGTATTTTGTGTGTCTTTCAAGTCGGTCAGTCAGACAGTTAGTCAGTCAGTCTATTACTAAGACTCATTTAATGATGCTGCATAGAATGGCTTAGTGGATTGTTTATCCTTTCAAAGTAGACTGGTGATGAATCTGTTTAAACAAACACTTTGTGGTTTTTTTAAAGGTTGATTTTTGTTGTTGTCCGAATTGACTGATTATTTTGTGCAAAGAATATCCTTTTCGATAATTTCCCCCTCTTCTGGCTCTACAATTATATATACATATGTTTATATACATAGAATATTCTACAATAGTCGTCATTAACAATATTAGTGTTTTTTTTTAAATAACATCGATTTGTAAAGTAAGATCACAATGGAATTACAGTTCATTAAAGATGCATAAACTATAATAATAATAGTAATAATAATAATAATAATAATAATAATAATAATAATAATAATAATAAAGATATGGTAGCAAATAGAATATCAACTAAAATTAGGAAAATTCCACGAAAGTTTCGGGATCATTCAAACCTAAATGGCCAAGGTGAGGATAATGTCTGAACCAACTTCTTTTGGATGCACAAATTAGGCTTCTTAATATGGATCCCAACAGCCATCCTCAGCAATATTTAGTAGTCGAACTCTTAAGGCAAAATTGAGATTTGCTGGTCTGCGGTAAATGACTTTGAAAGCTGCCTCGTTGACATCAATCTTGTGTTCTGTATCCATAAGATGAGATAGAATAGCGCTGCGAATAGATTTTGTTTGTCCTTTACTTAACCACACAGGGTAACGGACATTTCTCTCGATGTGATGTGTTTTATAAATGGTAGGGAGACTTCTCTTATGCTTTCCTTGGTGGCGGCTAGGGGGGGGTGGCTGGCTTTGATTTGGTAGGTAGGCTTGGGGATAGATGTCTTTTGATGAAGTTTCGTGGATATCCATTGATTTCGAAGACGCCCATTAGATATTTTTTTCTTCAATTTTCCTGAAGGTGGAAGTGCTGCAATGAGTCTCGGTCTCCTTGAATAGTGTTTATATACAATTCCTTTTGTGTGTTATTGGATTGTTGCTGTTGTGACTGAGTATTTGGTCTGTTAGAGTTGATTGTGTATAAACTTGAGTTTTTTTATTTTCCTCTGTGGTTGTTAGTTTGACTAAGTCGTCTAAAATTGGGATTTTGTTCTCAAATGCCTGTTGTCTTGTGAATTTGATTTTGTTGAAGATGTTGTTTATTAAGTTGAGTGAATTTTGGTGCAACTCGTTTCTCTTTTGATCATTACAAATGTGTCATCCACTTCACTTCAAAGTGACGTATCCACTGAAGATTTTGCCTGGTAGGAAGCAGTGAAAGCTTCGCAAATTAACTATATAGCTCTGGGTGATCTTATCAGCGTGCTTACACGATGAATAATGTTACTCTTAGCCTGGCATACGAAAAGTCTGTTCCAGTTAATTGACCTGGCGCATAATTCCATCAAGGGGTAAATCGACTTGATAAAATCACGCACAGTGGTATACAGTATTATTTACTCATTATGTTTCCAGCACAATTTATTGCTGCTCATAATCATATATCAAGGTACTCATCATATAATTTTCAAACTTTGTTTATATTAGTTCCATTAGTTTCCATATCTCTAATATTGATGCTTCCAGTCTTTCCTACTGCATTTGTTTGGTGTAGAGGTTTGATGAACACTAAGATTTAGGAATCAAACCTCTCCCTTCATATGGTTATATTAATCTTTTTTTATAATTAGAACTGTAGCCCTGTCCTCCCCCACCCTGTTGTTTGCTAATTCATGAATTGTGATTTATCTTGACTGTTCTGTAGACACAGACGATGCCACAGTTAACGATTCATAATAGATAACCAAGAAATACTAATGACGTCAGTGTATCAGTGAATTACCAAGGAAACAGAATTCATACTGCCGTTAGATTTCATTCTTTGTGACTGAATGATGGATGTGCTCATCTCTTAATCATAAGCTCTTGGTGTGTTCGATTCCTTACCCCATGCAGCCAACAATGCGCACTGCTGAACAGTCTCAAATTAAGAAAATTGTGATTTTCCAATCTTCGCCTTTGTTTGGCTAACCAGATGACGTTGGCTTGTGATTTATGCTAAAGTTTAATTACAAATTTTCAAGTATTGGTTTTTGTAGAGATTTTGTTTGATCGGTTGAAGGATTTCATCATGAGATGACATCAGTTATAGAAGCATTGGAACGCCAGCTGGGAGTACTGGACAGCTGTTTCGCCCCATTAGTTCGGGACCCTTCATCATCAGGATCGGATCCCAGTGGCTTAGAGGTCTAAGAGCTCGCTAGCTTTGTGATCAGAAGGTCATGGGTTTGAGCCCTTGGGTGGGTGCGTACTTATGAAGAGTCCCAAATCGGGACGAAACAGTTGTCCAGTACTGTCTGCAGGTTTTCGAATGGTTCTTTAATTACAAATATCGAATTTTGAAGAAATTTCCACCAGGGAGTGAATTTATTTGATACAATGTTATTGACTGACGATATTCTGAGCACAGTTTATTGCTGCTCATAACCATTGTTTTTCATTTTCTATATTCTGAGTGGATCATTGGGCTTCAAGTTAGGGCTTTGAAGTTTCGATAGCAGTGGTTTTATTTTTATGGGGTGGGGTTGCACTTAATGCCTCACACCCAAATTTCCTTCCTTGATCGGGGATCGAACCTCGGATTGGACCATGTGAGAGGCGTGGTTGGCGAGCGGTTCTACGCCACTGGACCCCCACACATTCATAATCATTATCAATGTTCTAGTCATATAACTTTCAAACTTCCTTTATATAATTCCGTTAATTCTTATCCTTTGATTTTATTGGTAATAGTAATATTTCCCATATCTTTGATATTGGGGTATGTTTGTGTGGTGGCGATATGTGGACAATAACAATTTCATAGTGTTGAAAACAGAATATATATCAATTCAACAGTTGCGGGAATTTGCATCAGCCAACCTCAGCGGGTTGATCGATGACGAAATCTCAGCTCGTTTGCCATATGCCAACTTACACCATCTCTGGCTTAGTAAACGTGATATCAAGTTGACTAACGATCAGAGGATATGTGTATTGCTCAGTAGTTCTCTCCGTCCTCCTCTATGGCTGTGAGCTAGACATGGCCATTGAAAGTGGAAGATATGAAAAGCACAGCTAGCTGTCTTTCATCATATGTGTCTGCCCTTTGCCTCCGGTGTTAAGTGGTATAATAATGTTAGCAGTATTGAGGTTAGGCATTGGTCAAGTGTTAGGTAGGTGGAAGGGTAAATCAGTCGACAACGTCGTGAAGTTAGATCGATTAAGAGAGATGGTTAGGACATGTGTTACGCATGCACACAGAGCCATCACCTCCTTCAACAACGGGCAACGTTAACTGAAATAGGATGGATCAGGTTAGAAAAGAGTTAGTGGTGGTAGTCAAACCAAAACATGGTTTCATCAGACAATCAAATCTTTAGCAGTTAGTTTAAGCTACATAGGGAGGTGTAGACTAACTGACCGGTTGGGGTCCTCGGGATGGTAGGAATCAATGAAGGCTGGAGCCAATTATCGGTGATATGGCTGAAAGTCATTCGCATTGGCGCAGATGGATGCACTCTTTATAATATGTGATATCCCATAAAACCCTATTGTTTTTCCATTTTTTGAAGTTTGAAAACTATACGATTAGTACCTTGATATATGATTATGAGCAGCAATAAATTGTGCTGGAAACATAATGAGTAAATAATACTGTATACCACTATAAATCAATCTAATCCCTACAAACCAATACTTGAAAACGTGTATTTTGTCATTCGATTTAATTACAGCGTACGTTTACCCGCAAGTGTCTTACTTTATCTCTTCTGTTATTATTATTATTTCCTCATTTAGATATGTGGTCAGCTGGTTGTGTTATCGGTGAATTGTTGCTTGGACGACCACTTTTTCCAGGTGAATCTGGAGTAGATCAACTAGTTGAAATTATCAAAGTACTCGGTACACCAACACGTGAACAAGTTCTAGAAATGAATCCCCAGTATAGTGAATTCAAATTTCCAAATATTCAAGGTTGTTCATGGGAAAAGGTTAGTATATATATGTGTACATGTATATATATATATATATATATATATATATATATATATATATATATATATATATACAGTACTGTTCATTGTTATAATATTATGACAAATAATATTTTTTGCCTTAAATTTATTAGCGTATCGCCTGTAATGCTGAAGATAAAGTACATTAAAATGAAAATGGATAAAAAGCTATTGTCCCCTACTATATTCCTTTTTCTTTTCTAAAACGCCATAGATATCGCCTTATCGGTTCTTTACGCTTTACTTGTATGCGTATTGTTTCTCCTCATAGTGCTTAGGACATGTGTTGCGGATACCAAACGACGATTACCTTCCACATCGAGGAGAGTGTTTACTGAGATAAGATTGGCGTAGAAAAGCCTTAAGGTATCCGTTTGTGAAGTCTTTGACTATTGGTTTCAGCCATGTAAGAAGGAGGTGTATTTCGCCCAGCTGGAGTCTCTGAGACGTTAAGAATCAGTGGTTGTTGGAGACTTTTAGTGGTATAGCTCTGTCCTCCTCTCGCGAATCGCTATCATGTGGCCATAGATTCAGTTAGGCTCTATTAACCGCCTCCACGAGGGCGGTGTGTTCTTCATAAAAGTGAAAAGGCAAATGGGAACGTCTGGCACCCACAAACGGACCAGTGACTGACTGACTGACTTGTTTCAATGTAGAATTTCGCACATATATGCGGCAGTCCGAGTTGCCACACTTCCTCAATGTAGTGCATAAAGCAAGTGAAGAGAGTAAAGAGAGATTCAAAAGCAGAGAGAGGTAATGAACAGAAATGTGAGGGAAAAAGAATCGTATTATGTAAGAACAATTCAGTTCTTTTGGATTTGACAAATCACAAAGAGTGAATACATTTGCACCAGCCATTGAAAATGATTTTGAGCCATATCACCGATAATTGTCTCCAGCCTTCATTGTTTCTTACCATCCCGAGGACCCGGACCAACTGGTTAGGAAGTCTACACTTCCCTACGTGGTTGGTCTAAACTAACTGTTGTCGATTTCATTGACTGATGCCGCCATGTTTTGCTTTGACCACTAACCACTTGCTCTTTTCTAACCTGATCCTATGTCAGCTAACATTTCCCATTGTTGAGGGAGCAGATGGCTAGGCATACGTAACACATGTCCCAACCACCTCCCTCAATTGGTGTAACGTCACAACTTCGTCGATGGATTTCCCCTCCTTACACAGTAGTACTCGACCGATGCCTAACCTAAATATTGCTCACCTTATTATACCACTTAACAGAGGAGATAGAATGTAGACCAGCTAGACAGGGTTTTCATGTCTTCCACTTTCATTAGCCATGTCTAACTCACGGGCATAAAGGAGGACGAAGAGAACTACTGAGCAATTCGAACGTTCTCTGATCGATAGCCAACTGGATATCACGTCTACTAAGCCAGAGATGGTGTAAGTTGGCATACAGCAAACCAGCCTTCTGTAGCCGTGCTGAGATTTCATCAGCGATCAACCCTCTGGCACTGGCTGAAGTGAAGTGGTCAACACGCTCCACCAACCACTTCACTCCTGTCTATCTTTAAGCTAGGAATGAGTCGATGTAACCCAGTCAGTCCTGTATCATCATCTTACATTTGACAACAGGAGCGAATCGCATGTCAAACATTCGAAGATTGCTGCTTCCCCTCAAAGTGTTTAGCAGACTCAGCTCTATTTCTTCAGCGTCTTCACCTAGAAGGACTGCATCATCCTCATATTCTAAGTCAATGGGATTATTTCTTGGTAACAAGTGAATCCCTGAATTGCTGAATTCAATTGGGGCTAATTCTGTTAGTACATCCATGATGAAATTAAATAGAAGTGGGGACAGTGGAGATCCCTGATGCACACTACTGGTTGTCACCACTTGAGATGACAACTCTCTGTAGCCTGTCACCTGGCTGGCTGTATGAATTCGAGTAGAGTGCCTTGATCAGTGGAATGCATTTTCTCGGTATTCCTTTTACACCCAAACATCGCCATAGTACCTGTCAGTCGACGGGATCGAATGCTGCCCTTAGGTCAAGAAATATGACGATTGTTGGACGCCGGCAAGTATGCTTATGTCCCATAATATATCGAAGGGTGAAGATATGATAACATCGGAGATTTGAACCCACTCCACCAAGTACATCAATAAGAGATGTTACCATTGAGCTTATTTTAGCTTCTGATTGTTTCCAGTTACCTGGCAGATTAGTGTATGCACTTGGGATTATTTCAAAGGGAATGAATGATATTTCAGTGCCAGTATGATAGATAGGACATAGTGTTTAAACACTTTTGTCTATGTGACTGAGTTTCAGCATTGAACTTAGCACAGAAGTGCAGCACTCCATGTAACACACAAAGGTAGAGGAAACATACAAGAAAGGGATTCAAATGTACTATAATGAGCAGAAATCTGAGGAAGGGAGACAGAATAGTCACATGGAAAAAAACATAAAGGTATAGTGGATATAGGATATCACATGGCGTCAATGCATCTGCACCACTGAGAAGAATTTTAAGCCACATTTCCAGTTGTTTCCATCTATTGATTCTAAGGATGCCGAACACCCCAACCAGGTAGCCTACACCTTCCTGGCTAAAAGCAACTGTTAAAGATTCCATTGACTGATTCCAGATTTTGATTCAGCCACCTCCAACTTTCCCCCAACCTCTAATCCCATGTCGGCTAACATTCCTCGACGAGGAAGGCAATGGCTCAGTATTTGCAACACATGTTCTGTCCACCTCAGTCGATTTACCTTCGACTGACTTATCCTCCTTACCTAACACTTAACGCCGCCTAACCTCCATATTACCCACCATATTAGATAGCTTTACACCAGAAATAGAAGGCAATACATTTGTGGTCAAAGATAGATAGTCTTTTCATGTCTTCTACTGCCAATGGCCATGTTTTGTAGACATAAAGGAGAACAGTAAAATCTGCCGAGCAATACCCACATCCTTTAATAAATAACCCAGGTGGTTATCACGTCTACTCCAGGGGTGATGTGCTGAGATTTTGTCAGCAATCAGTCTATTGGGTTTGAAACAACTTCCCAGAATATGTCAAGTGATCAGTACACCGAACCACTTGACTGCTTCTCTGTAAACTAGGAGTCGGTGCAGTCGGATGCTATTTTGTCTGTCTATGTAGTGTTAATTCGGCGACTAGAAATGTATTTTCAGTTTAAATTATTGGATTTATACTTTTAATTTTATTTATTTATACGTTATAGTGAGTCATTGAGTGATAACTGAGAACAGAGAAAACCTTCTTATAATCTCTCTCTCTCCCTCTTGCTCTTCTATTTTTTATTTTACAGTTAATTCGTAATCGTAGTGCAGATACAGCCTTCTGTGTATTAGAGAAATTATTAGTCTACAGCCCTAAAACACGTATGACTGCTTCGGATATCTTGGGGTGTAGTTTCTTCAGTGATTTAATCTCACCACCACCTGGACATCCAGCTGATGCAACCGGTCATCTACCAAGTGGTAAACCAGCGCCAAGTTTTATAAATCAATTCACTGAAGAAGGTAATGCACCTTTTTTTCTTATTATACTGTCTAAATTGAATAGTAATATTTATTCTTATTTCATTGGGTTCCGTGTGGAACGTAAGGCTTCAACAACACATCTCCATTCCCTTCTGTTCTATGCAGTCCTCTTCAGCTGGCTCCACGATTGCCCGTAAGCTCTCATCTCTTTCACACACGATTTACTTCTTGGGTCACTTAGTCTCGGACGTCTCACTCGTCATTTCCCATTCGGATTCCACTTATTATCATTATTACTATTGTTCCCTTTAATTCCTAGAGCTTCAGCCGAACGCCTCCATTGCGCGTTCGATTCTCTGCCAACGTTTTCACCTGTCTCCACGTTTATCCACATGCTCTCACCTCCTTTTCGCATGACCTCCATCTCACCGTCACACTGACGACTAACTCGCTGCTTCCCGTTCGGTCCCCACTCGAGCGATGGCCTAGAGTATGATGTAACTCACTTGATGGTTTGTTTTCTCAGACTGTGGTTACCAAGCCACCTCCATTTCTTCCTGCTTATTTGTTGCACAATTGGTTCCTGCTGAGTTTGTTCGTTCATTGCCAGAGATCCCTGTTGCTGATGTTTTCTGGCTGGCCATCTGACGTAGAGTAGTATTGAGCGAAGACAGCTGTTGATATAGGTGTGTAGTTTGTTCGAAGAGCCCTTCGTGACACTCCAAGCCTGTGATTCGTATAGTAAGTAGCACTGACTTCACATTGGAGTTGAAAATCCGGATCTTATTTTTCATGATGAGTGCTGAGTAGTGCTGTTGATCTACACACAAACTTGAGACTAATGGAAGCTTACCTTACTTTCCCGATTGTCGAGCATTGATATCCTTATCAGTTCCTTCCGCCTGTAGTTGTAACGATGCTTTCCAGGTCTTAAGTTAAAGGAGGTTGCTTCTTTCAGATTTCTCCCATATATTTTAATTGTTGTCTGTTTTTGTTGCTGTTGGCCAGGAATCTTCATCACCTCTGTTTTCTCTATGTTCAACTATCTTTGTCCTATCTTTGATGCTTCTTCTACCAACTTGTTGCTTTTCACTTGCATATCTTCCAGTTTGTGGCAAACCAGACATACGTCACATCGGCGAAGTCTTTTGTGTGGGTCGTGCTTCCTCGCTGTCCACCGCTGTCTGTCTCACTAGTGGGTCGGAAGCGTGATTCCACTCAACGGTCTTCTCAGCTTGTCTCCAATCCATCTCTATTTCGTTCCGCATATCTGTTGAAATATGGTTTCCTGGTTGGTTCGTTTCCAGGGTCCCCCCAATTGCTTATCCTTTCTGACCACTCGATCTTCAGTATCATGCTGAATCAACCGTTGATGGAAGTCTACAGTAGCTTGTTGGAAATGTAGCGACCAAATCTATTCGGTTATAGTCTGAACGCAAGAAACTGATCTCTACGTTGTCCTAGATAGCCGAAAAAATTTTTGCTGTGACACACGCTATCACTAAATGTTCAAAACTCCGGAGGAAGGATTATAACGCTCCAATATTTCAACGGTTCTGTTCAACAACAACAACAACCACAATAATAACATTAAAACTCAAATTTACCTCAACATTGCCGTGAGGCATCTCTATATAGGAAGTGTAGGTTTATAAATACAAAACAAGTACTTAGAATCGAGAAGAATATTCCCAACAGGCTGGGATCAAGAACTCTGTCCACACAAAACCCTAACCCACACACACCAAGACTACCCTGGATAGGATAACCTTCATCGCTCAAACAAACCGTTATGGCATAAATGTTGTCCTGAAAAATGACGTTTGCCAGCCGTGTACTGATATACCCGTGAAATTAAGGTTCGGTGACTGTGTTGATCATCATGTTTCAAAACAAGATTTTGAGCGAACAATTGTTTTCGATAACTTCTTCCTCAGGCTCTACAGTTATAAATCCATGAATAATAGAGTACATGTAGCCAATAAAGGCGAATGAAAATAATATCAGAAACTGTATTGGGTTGCATGTGTAAGTTGAGATGATAGTCCATTAGTTAACATAATCAATCAAATGTGTATAGGGTGTATAGTCAGAAACATGTGATGAAGTGTGGTGAATGAACAATTGGGTGATATAGTGCTGTTTTATAGTCAACAGAATACAAGTGTCATTGGGGTGAGAGAAATACGATAGACACAAAATACACACAAACACACATTAACAAAGGGGACACTAAATGTGAGGGCTGACCGATAATGTCTAATGATAAAATAAAGAGGCTAAATTGTAAATTGTAATAAGATGTTACAGAGTTGGTAGGCTCAGTGTAAAATCACAAAGGTTGACAAAATTAAGGGTAACAATGAGGTGAAATAAACTGGGTGGAAAAATGGATAATAAAGACATGATATCACAGAATGATAATAATGGTAATAATAGTACGGAAAATTATGATCCTGGTGACCTTATAGTGGGCCAGGGTAGACAGAGGGAGTGAATAAGTTTTTTCTGCACACATAAGTCCGGTCTTTCTCTATTAATCTCTAAAGCCTCAGCTATGGCTAGGAGGCGTAATCGTGTGCCTTTGGGGAGATTGTTTGGTACTCGATACACAACTCTAAATGACTCTTCTACTTTGATGCTGTGTTCGCTGTCCACTAGATGAGCCAGAATTGCACTATTTAATGGGTATTATCGTTGAAGAAATCCATGGACATACAATTCATACAATTTCTAATGAAACATGATGATCAACACAGTCACCGAAGCTTAATTTCAGGGGTATCAGTACACGGCTGGCAAACGTCATTTTTCAGGACAACATTTATGCCATGACGGTTAGTTTGAGCGAATTCTTTATTATTTTCGTCATTTTTACCACTAATGTTATTCTTTTTATGGTTCTTCATATATTTCTGAATAAATTCTGGTGGGTATTGTGTTGTTATTCACTAGTAATAATTCCTTTATTTGTTTGATTTCGTTATTTATATATGCTGGCCTACTACTTCTACGAGTTAGGCTGTTGGTCCGATTATAAAGACATTTGACTATTTAGAAAACAACATACCTCATTTGTGGGTATACACAGTACAGACAGCAAAGGGCTCATCCAGATCAGCCCATCCATCAGCCCAAACGGGTTGATCTCCGACGAAATTTCAGCACGAATACAGAGGGCTAGGTTCGCATTCGCCAGTTTTCGCCGTCTTTGGCGTAGACGCGATATCCGACTATCGACCAAAGGGCGTGTGTGATGCTCATCAGTCCGCTCCGTCCTCCTTTATGGCTGTGAGACCTAGCCATTGAGAGCAGAAGACATGAAAAGATTAGCTGTCTTCGATCATAGGTGTCTGCGTTCTATCTCCCACGTGAAGTGGTATAATAAGGTGAGCAATATTGAGGTTAGGCGTCGAGTGCTAGGTAAGGCGGGGAAATCAATCGACGAGACTGTGAAATTACTTCGACTGAGATGGTTAGGACATGTGCTACGTATGCCTAGTCATCGCCTTCCTCGACGGGCAATGTTAGCTGATATAGGGTCAGGCTGGAAAAGAGCTAGTGGCGGTCAAACCAAAACATGGCACCAATCAATGAAATCCACAACAGTTAATCTAAGCCACGTAGGAAGATGTAGACTTCCTGGTTGGGGTCCTCGGGATGGTAAACACCAATGGTTGGAAACAATTGGTGACATGGCTCAAAATCGTTCTCAGTGGCGCAGATGCATCCACTCCTTGTGACTTATGATTTCCAAATAAACTTTTGTTCTCCGTTATTACTATTCCTTTATCTCACACCTCTGTTTACTGTCTACATTATGCATTTCTTCTACTTCCTTCTCTTGCTTTGCGTGCTACATAGATTGTGGCGACTTGAACTGCCGCACATATGTGCAAAGTTCTATGTCGAAAACCGACCGACCGCTCATCCAGATGACAATATGCAGTTTTTGTCTGGAATTGACCTGCACGCCCCAAAAATAAATGGAGTAACTCGAAGTAACTGAAGTGCCAGCCGCTTGTCTCGAATAGACCTAGCCCAATGCAATGCGAATTGAATTCAACTTCTTTCGTAGTGAAGCACTCACTCATTATTGAACTGCGAAAATTTAACTTCCTCTATTCAAGTTGGAGCAAACCAAATCAGAAGAAAAGTAACCTGACAAAGACACCTAACCTTACTGACTTGGTGAGGTGTCTTTGTCAGGTCACTTTTCTTCTGATTTGGTTTGCTCCAACTTGAATAGAGGCAGTTAAATTTTCGCAGTTCAATAATGAGTGAGTGCTTCACTACGAAAGAAGTTGACTTCAATTCGCATTGCATTGGGCTAGGTCTATTCGAGACAAGCGGCTGGCACTTCAGTTACTTCGAGTTACTCCATTTATTTTTGGGGCGTGCAGGTCAATTCCAGACAAAAACTGCATATTGTCATCTGGATGAGCCCTTCGCTGTCTGTACTGTGGGTACCCACAAATGAGGTATGTTGTTTTCTAAATAGTCAAATGTCTTTAAAAATCGGACCAACAGGCTAACTAGTAGTTGTGTAACGACAGAAGGCAAGATTCAGGCAACAGATCATTTATTAAGGGAATCAACGCATATTTATATATGTTTTCATGTACATTAATATGGATATGTAAACAAACAAACACAGTCTTCCGATTGGTTGTTTCTCACGACAAATCTTGGGAACGTAAATATTGACGTAAATTACTGTCTGCCAATTTGGCTAGTAGACAGCTCTCACCACACTCGTCCCGCCGTCAAATGGCTTTGCCTCAAGCGTTCCGACCTTCTGGGTGATGCATCCTCTCGTTGATGATTGTTACAGACCGGCTTGTCCCAATGCACCCATTTATGGATCTGACTGGCGTTAACTCGTTTTTGTTTGTCACCTCTTCTTATGGTATACACTTGACCCCGTTCTTTTGTGACTGTGTATGGTCCTTCCCGTTTTGGAAACTGTTTGCCTGACCCTGCCGCACATTCGTAGGTATTTCGGCTCACACTTTCATATGCTGCTTTCTCCCGACCTC